ACGAAGATGACCCGAGGGCTGGAGCACCTGTCCTATTAAGACAGGCTGAGACCGTTGAGGTTGTTGAGCCTGGAGAAGAGAAGGCTCTGGGGAGACCTTAGAGCAGCCTTCCCATACCTAAAGGGGCCTACAAGAAAGCTGGGGAGGGACTTTTTACAAGGGCAGGGAGTGACAGGACAAGGGGAAATGGCTTTAAACTGGAAGAGGGAAGATTTAGATTAGATGTAAGGAAGAAATTCTTTACGGTGAGAGTATTGAGGCAGTGGCAGAGGTTGCCCAGAGAAGCTGTGGATGCCCCATCCCTGGAAGTGTTCAAGGCCAGGCTGGATGGGGCTTTGAGCAACCTGGTCTGGTGGAAGGTGTCCCTGCCCATGGCAGGGGGTTGGAACTAGATGGGCTTTAAGGTCCCTTCCAACCAAATCATTCTATGGTTCTATGATTCTATGATCTTTGTGTTGTTAACACTGATGTAGCTCAGGTATGATATGTGTAAACATAATTTTTGTCACTGTTTTTCATTGGTAGAAGGATAAGCTATTACTGTTAAGACTTAGCACAGAACATTAGCGTATTCTGGAGGCAAAATGTAACACAGCCAACATTAATTATACCACATGGAATGTTATAATAAAGTACCTTCTAAAATACAGTGTGAATATAAAGAACACCAGGATCAGCAGCCTTTTGTCATAAATCTCACTTTAAAATAATAAAATGTCACTATTCTTCCAAGGCTTCTTCCAAATAATAAATTTTAAATTTAAGCTGGACCATTGAAACAAGCAGGCCACAATCCATATTTTATTTTGTCAGTGAATTGCATGATGGCACTGTATAATGAATTTACACTGTACAGATGTGTGACTAGGAGGCACCTCCTGAATCTTTAAACTGTGTCCTTAAAATAATGAAGGAAAACTGTTTGACAGCCGTCTATAAACACAGACACACAGTTTTGCTGTTGGTGGACAGGTATTGAATTCCTAATAATGTGCTAAATGCATAAGCTCTTCTAACCTCTATCTGCTATGCTACAGCATCTCTTCTCAGTGGGATAATGCAAAAGAATGTTCTTATCTAGACAGCAGAAAGAAGAATATTTTTTAAACGCCACTGGATTCCAGCAAGGCCCACATATATTAAAGATATATATTACCATCTTTGACATGACCTTGCCCCTTTAAATATTTCATATAACCAATAATAGATTTTTTTTTCTAAAACATTTGCCAAGAATGCTTTAAATGAAACTATCATTGGGAGTCATATACACATTTAAAAAGATGTGGGCTGCCATCCAAGAATTACATATGCCTGAAACAAATGCTTAAAAATTGTATTTCTATATATGTGAACTGCACAGAAAAACTATGAGCCTGTACTGGTTTCCATTACCCCTAGATTTCTTGCTATACAAGATACTTGGCCTACCCACATCCAAAGTCCGTAGAGAAGGACCAACTGGATTACATATTGTGTCCAGTTTACACCAGGTTTGAAGTCCTGTGTCCCTTTACAATGTTATGTGTGAAAGAATAGACTTCTGTCAGTATTTGTTAACAGTGTGGCTGGGGTTTGTGTCTGTGAAGAATCAGGTGATGGAGAGGTTTCATGGAAGCTATGGCTCTGTGGGATATAGCTGTTAGGGGATAGTAGTATCAGTCAGGATAAAGATAAGTAGGATTCCCTCAAGATCTCAAACAACCTACTGATTACTTGAAACTCATGTGGAACCACCAGTGATCTGAAAGGAAAATATTTTACGGACAGTACTCCTCACTATTGATTCTATACTCAGATATTCTGATTAATTTTGGTCTTCTAGCTTCCAACATAGTAATGAATTTTTTTCCTTGCATGTTATCCTTACTAGTCAAGCTGGCATCAAGTCAAGTCTTGTTCAGTGGTGTCTGGAAGCTGGCATGAAGTTAAGTCTTGGTCAGTGGTTGGTCTGGAAGCTGCCATCCAACACTTCAGATTAGGTGGTAGTATAGAGAAAATCGGAAATCTTAGCATCTGTGCTGTTATGAAATCTGGAGAGCATGACTAATCTATCTTCACAGAGTATTTCTCACCCCAGATTTCCACTTGACTTTTGTTTGATGTTGCTGGGATGGCTGTCTCTGATTCATATCACCCAGGGCATGGTGAAAATTAAAATGATCCTTACCTTTGGCCCACAAAGGCTTTTATCTTCTAGAGGCATCTTAAAAAATTACTTACTTAAAATATTGCATGAAAAAGGAATCATAATGTGGGACCACTTTGTCTTTCTACATAACCTTCTATCCAGTTTTGTACTCAGAAATTATTTAGCCTTGGTAGAAATATCTCTGGGGTAAATAATTCGAATCCTGTGTCAGTAAACCTTGCCAGAGTTTCAGAAATCCCCATTAAATTTTTTTTCTGAGCTTATTCAGTGACCTCAGTCATGGAAGCTGACAATATAGAAATTGCTGTAGACAAACATGTATGAAAGAGATAAATGAGTTGAGTATTATCTACATGAAAATGATACTTTGGACCATAATGGGGAAAAGTTAAGCCACAAAAGGATGACAGTGTTGAAAAACCAGAGGCAAAGCATCTGTCATTCAACGCTAAATATCAGAACTGCATTTATTAATGGTGGAAAATAGTATCACTAATACAGTTAAAATTAAGCTATTTTAGAGACATTTCAGAAAGCCACAGGATGTGCTTCAAGCATTACATCTAGAGTGTACAAAGCTGCATGAAAAGACACCTTCATCCAAAGGTCATCACAGCTTCCTTACAATGGGATTAACTACAGCCTGCTTGAGAAGCAGTTGTTAGGGACAAGGTGAGGGGAACGGCTCCACAGTGGACAGTAGCACATGGGAATTCACAGAATTATCAATGACACATTCTGTTGCATGTGGCATCATCTAATGTATTAGTGCCTGTATGGGTTTGGTACAGGGAAGTGTTGAGTGGGAGAAAAGCCCCAGCAGCGCTGGTGACTGAAGTGCAGCCCTAGCTCTGATTTAAAGGGCCTCGCTCCGCGCATTTGCAGTTACGTCTTCACACTACTGAGGTTAACTGTAATAGCAGGCGAAAGGAGTAGTGAGACTTTCTGTGTTGTTTCTGGATTTATCCTACAGTTTTCTCATTTCAGCAGAAGGGCCGATGATCTCAGTCTTGGGAGAATATCACATGGAAACACACACCTGCTAACCCCAATGTAACAGTAGTATTCAACGAGAGGCAAATAGGTCAGGAATCTTTCTTGGGCAACATATGTTTCAGCTCAGTTCAGATTTTCCAGGCCTGCACAGATGGATCAGGATAAGGCTATTTATGTGAATCATCATCAGGAGACACAGAGGGGAAATACTCATGGAGAGGCTGGGAATTAAACTGAGTTACTGGAAGCGAACAGGTTTGCTGAGGTTTCAGGCTCTTGTATGAAATTTGGTAAACTGAAAGCTTCTTGCAGTAGGATGGTTTTAACTGCTTCTAGTGCCTCATTTAAATATAAGGATGTAATTTCTGCAAGTTTTTTGTGTAGACCTGATTCTGCCTATTTAAGGCCACAGGAACTTCAGAAAAATCCCAGCTGTGACTGCTCCTGGGGATTTATTTTAGGAAATTTGCTTCCACATTAACAATCACCAACACAGAGCAGAAGTCTGCACCTTTTATTTTTAGACTTTTATTAAGATCCTGGTGTGGAGGATAGCATCAAGTGAGAAAGAGGAAAACACACATTTGATATTTCCAAGCAGTTTCAATGTCACAGACCTATTTCCCCCACTGCCAGGAGGCAGAGGAGTTGTTCCAGTAATTCATTACTCATTCTGGCTTTTTTCTTCTCTTAGGAAAAATATTTATCCCTAAAGAAAAGCCCATAGAAACCCGTACAGAAGAGAAAGTGACCCTGGATCCGGAACTAGAAGAAGCTCTGGCCAGCGCTTCAGATACTGAGCTCTATGACCTTGCAGGTTAGGTAATATATAGGTATGATCCCCCTACACATCCCGTTCTTCTCTGCCTAGACCTGCTACCAGGAGTGTCTCATGATCGTCTCTCAAGTACCTGCTGTTTCACTATACAGACAGGTGGCCAGCCTGTGGGCCACGCATTGCCCATGACGACTTCAAACGTGACTCAACAGCTGTTGCCTTTTAGACTTCTCTCATTTACTTATAATTGATGTGTCAGGCAAGGGGAGAAGATGAACCAGCTAACATGATTTGGGGAAAGGAAAGGTAGATGGTAGACTGCAGGCTGTGTGCTTGCATTGTAGTGGAGACCACTGATCTTACTGTATCCACATTATTTGTAGCACGTTATTGCCACCTCCTCTCAACTCTGACATCCCAAGTGGCAGGACAAACTTGTTAGAGGATGCAATAGATGAAGATCCTGCATCCGTGAGGAAATCTGGAATCTTAACACCTTGAATCAGAAAATTGGTTGCCAGCTGATTAGACCTGGATATCTTCACCACTTTTAATTATTTTCCTTTAATCCAGAGTATAACCTCATGTTCTAGAATGTGCATAACGGAAATAATTTTGAAGTATATCCACCTGCATAAATAACATTTGAACCTACAGTATAACAGAGGCCAGTCTGTAGTTCTTGAGCTGCCCATGACTTTCAAGTAGTTTGTATCATGGGTATGTCCTATGTTTATGCTAGTAGAAGAGCATCATCTGAATCACTAATTTGGGAAGACGCAAGCCAGCCACGGCTGGTAAGATTAATGTCAATGGGTCATCCTAAAACCCTGCTCAGCCTAGTGTTGAGACCTCCTTATGGAACCATTGACATCTCCTGCCTTGTCCACCCAGTTCAGAGTGGATCCTATCCTTACCTGGGCTCTATGAGGTCCATGGTGTACCTTTTTTGGGCCCTGGTCTATAAAAAAATTTTGGTGGGAGAATGCAACTCTGTTGACAATTTTTTCATTTGAAAATATTTCAGCATATTAGATTAATCCTAATCTGGGTTAGATCAACATTAAACTCAAAACTCTTGTAACTACTTTATTGTCCTATTGAAGGATGTGATCTTGCCATTGTCTTTGTGATTCTTGGCTACACTACCCATTTCTGGATGCATTAGTCTTGGCTCTGATTGAAATGTCACAGGAATCACAGGATTATAATGCAGCTGGCACTTCTCAGGAAGTCTGAAGTTCATGGAATGAAGTTCCATGAAGTTCCAAGTTTTGCTCAGCTCTGGTCAGTATCCAGCCATTCACAACAGAATTTGTAGGTATTGAAGTCTAATGAAAAACAGTGAGTAGCACACCTATTGCCGGGAGTTCTGAAAAGAGACTCTGTAACAGCAGCTAAAGAGTCATTTGCTTACAGAACAGAGTATTTTCCATAAGAAAAAACTGATGATAAAAGTAAAAATCTACATCAAGTTAGTAACTTTTAATTAACGCATGATCCTATAGAATAAAGTCCAATTAGGTTAGTTAGGGGAGAAGCACCAGCAAACACAGCACAATTTATTCTCTGACACTGTGGAAGTTCATTTGCACAAGAGATAACTTTGCAGCTTCTTTTATGGAGTTTTGGTTTCTCTTGTCATTTCTCTCATAATAGTTTATATCCTCACTATTTATTATGAAGTCCTGGAATATATATATATTTTTTTTTCCAAGCACATTAGCATCCATGTGCTTCTATAAGAAACCCCAGTGTGAATGCCAATTTATTAAGCTCACCACATGTACAGTCAAATTCTTCTCCGATATGCCAAACAATACAACAAAGACCAATAAGAGGTTCAGGCTGTGTATTAGGGAAAAAAAAAATGATTAGGAGTGTAGCACTGAAACAAGTTACCCAAAGAGATTGTGGGATTTCCATCCCTGGATGTTTTCAGGATCCAGCTAGACAAAGCCATGACTGACCTGGTTAATGTTGGCAACGCTCCTGCTTGAGGGGGAGGCTGGACAAGATGACCTGCAGCGGTTCCTTCCAGCTGGCATTTCTGTGATATGCATACTACATTGATTCAGGTGTTCAAAAATCTATCTTAAAAATGTCTGTATCTCCAGTATTTAGACCCGTAAAGACTCTCCCTACAAGCATAATCGTGACTCAAGAGAGTTAATATTTTATAAAGGGGGTTTTGTCTGGGGAACTAAACTAGAATTTGTAGCAGATATTTTTCGGCAGTTTTCGTTCCTGCCATTAACATTGTATCCTGTTGCTGGTATTTACACATTTTAGCGGTTCTTGGAGTGCACAACATGGTCAACAACCCAAGATTTGATGAAGGAGGAGCCCGCAGTAAAGATGGAAGAGGAACCGTGAGAAGTAAGCAAGCGGATTTCTCTTGTGGGCTATATGTCGTCTTCAGGGGCTTGTACACCTATAGGCTGGGTGTATTGGTCTAATTTAGTGTAATGTAACTGGGCCTTACCTTGATTGATCTAATTAATCATGAGGCTTAGCTCTTCAAAGTAAATAACAATATTAAAATTCATTATCTGTAACGACAACAGTACTATGCAAATAAATAATTCCTAATGAGCTTTGTTTTCCTAGAGAGCAGTATCTGGCTCTGCAGAGGTGCTTGAAAGGATGGGAGTATTTAAGAAGCCAAGACATACATATTTTCATTCCACTTCAGTTTAGGCAGCAGACAGAAAACATAGCGTGCTGCGGCTAAGAGGTGACCACAGTGCAGGCCAGGCCATCTCACCCCGAGTACCTACATTTATGCAACCGAAAAACAACCTGTTACCATGGGGCTCGACCATGGCAGAATCCCTGGCAGAGTCACATCTGTGACCAAAGTCACGTCAAGCTGCATTCACAAGGAGGCCAAGACCGCATGGATGTGCTCCCGCCTGGGCTACTACCTCCACCTTAGTCCTGTGGCAGTGTGTTTAAATGTTGCCTGTTACATGGTTCCTTAGGTACACGGGAAGCTTAATCGTTCAGGAAATCCCTCAACAGAAACAGCTGTAGTTACTAAAAACAAATCCAGAAATGTTTGCACTAAATAAACAGACCTTTGGTGAATCAGATCTTAGCTCAGCAACTGACAGGAGGCTGGATGGGGGGGAGAAATGGGTACATCTGAATTGCAAGTTTTTCTTGAGAGCTGCCAAGCCGAGCTCATCACCTCAAATGTCTGGGATATCAAGTGGGCTAAACTTTGCTTTTTAAGACAAAATTGTGGAATGCCTTTTTCTAGGGAAACAGTACTCAAAAAATATTTTCTTCTTCTAAGGCCATGAGAACAGCAGCTATCTTTACCAAAGACTTTCATTTCCATCCTTCATTACAAAAGGGGAGGTGGGAAAGTAGACAGCACACCGCGTCACTTCATTTTTCTCAGGATTAAGACTGCTCTGCAAGCCTCCCCAGCGAGCTGCCATCTATCTCATAACAGGCAACTGCCTGCATTACTAATCCACATAGATTTCAGAATATTTTTGTTGTACTGAGTCAAAATGTCAGCTATGTGAGTCAGCTAAACTATGCTCCAATCACAGACTTAAGAACCAGAAAATCACTGTCACATTACTGTATTCTTTGGTCCAAAAGCAATACCTTTCCTTAGCCAAGTGAAATATTTCAGTAAATGAGGGAGACATCTCAGAAGTTGCCCGTCAATATGGCAAAACAGCACCATGATTAAAGAAACAAGACAAAACTCACAGGAAGCAACAAGAAGTAGAAAATGAAGAATATTGCTAACTCTGGACTGAGTATACTGTGATGTCTAACCTAAGGACAGGGTGCAAGCCTCTCCCTACCTCCCAGCTTGGCAGGGTGTTGCCACAAGTGCAAAAAATGCTTTCTTGGATTTTGTTTAATTTCTGTCCTTGCATCCAAGGTGAATTCTCTATATGCATTTTACCAGTAGTTTTCAATTCCCTACTCCCTAGAAAGGCTGGAGTGTTATGCAGGGATATGTGAGGTCTCTCAGGGAATTAGTAAGAAAAAGAAAGTTTGGGGTGAAAGGGAGCGGAGTGAAAACCAGCTCAAGGTTTGTGTATGACTTCATCTCTACTAAGAGTATGAGTTCTAAAAAAATATTTAGTTTTCTTTTGGCCCATGATATGGCATGAACTTTACCCATTGCACTGAACAGCAATGCGTAGTACATTGAGACTTGAGAACAAGTCTTCAAAATCACTTTCCGTCTGCAACATAAAATAGAAGAGTTTAAACATACTTGTGGTCAGTAACATGTTCCTTTCTTGCCTCTAGTGGCTTGGGTGGTCAGGGCTTATAAATTAATCTCCACAACTACATGCGTGGGAATTAGAAGTACTAATTGTGTTCTAAGCTGATTTTTATGCCTCTCTAAGAATATTTATAGCTCATAGCTTCCAGCATTAAAAACTGTATCTGTTTGGAGCATGAATACTCAAAGACTTCATAAATCTTGGTGCTGGGAGATGGACTTGCTTTTCATGCTTTGATAGTTTTATTATTTAGAAAGTGCAGATGTTGCAATTTTACAAGAGCTAACTGAATTTATAGTAAGGCTGATAGCATCGTCCGAGAGAAGGAAAGTGAGGGGCCTCCTGATCATGTTCCTTTAGTTTAGCACAGTCTATTCATAGGTGCAGGGACATTTTCTCACTAATGCAATGGGCAAGTTCTGAGCACACCTTCCTTTACAGATATTTGACAAAGAACAAAGCAGCCCTTGCAGTATATTACATCTTATACAATAGTCTTTAAAGCTGCTTTGGCTCAAATTAATTGTACCAGATCTTTTGTACATAAAGGAGGAATTTGCCCGTGCCAATACTGCCCAGCCTCTGTGACCACAGTCTCCAGTGACATGCTTCTGGGTGCACAGAAGGTGCAAAGGGCATTGCAGGGATGAAGGGGCTAATACTCCTGTTTCCAAGTTTTGTGGTTCATTTAAACCTTTTCTTGAATGCTATGGTACAAACCCTAATTGGGAATTGAAAAGCCAGACTGTTACTGATGATGCCTGTTCCTCACATCAACATTTATTGAGATCTTGTGTTGCAGATGTGGTGAAAGGTGAAAAAGTCAAGCCCATCTTTGAGGAGCCACCTAATCCGACCAACGTGGAAGCAAGTTTACAAAGGATAAAAGCAAATGATCCTAGTCTCATAGAAATTAATCTCAACAACATAAAGGTAGATGCTGTGGTTTTATTTATGTCATCATAGGAGGGTTTATTCAAATATTTCCAAAGCCCTTGCCTTTTATCTTGAAATTTTGTCTCTCTTTACTGTTCAGAAAAGCAGGACACAGAGGAAAGGGACATGGAGGGAATGGTTGCAGAGGCTCCAAGGTCGTCAATGCCTGATATTGAATTAGATGCCAATTAAAAGCCCAAGGGGTGACTGCCTCTGGCTTCCTTTCTTTAGGAGATTGTAAAGCAAGATACCTCATGGGCACTATACCGTCATCACTGGCCAAACTCAATTAGCCCATACATGCAAATGGAGGAGGAGCTGGCACATGGAGACTGAACAACCAGCAGCAAAATAGGAAAGTAGCTCAGAGTTCAGTCACGTGCTTGCGTTGGCCTGACCCACTTAAAGGCAGTGCTGACACCGCATATTAGCACAGGCCTCCACGAGTCTCTGAAGGCCACTATAAGCAGAGAATGCTTTGTCTATTCTGAGATACTCTTAAAAGCATCGGAGATGTTTAAATTGCATAGACTGTGGCTATTAATCCATCAGTTTGGTAATAATTAAAATCACTGTCTAGCGATGTGACTGGCTTTCCTAATTACTGGATTTATCTTCTTAATGTAGAATATTCCTATTCCAACACTGAAAGAATTTGCAAAAGCTTTGGAAAGCAACACACATGTGAAGAAATTCAGCCTTGCAGCTACTCGAAGCAATGACCCTGTAGCTATTGTAAGTTTAAACATTGCTTGGAAAAAAAACACAACAATTTTTAAGTAGGTCTATGTTTGCTTTAGAATGCATTCTTGATTTTCCCTTGTGACTATGTAAAGTAGAAGCATAATCTCTTCTGATCTACCTCTATGTTCTTCTAAGCCTATTTATGTTTTATTTCTTTGTAGGTATCTAAGCTATGTTTTGCAGATTCCCTGTTATTCACTGAGACTCTCAAGGCGTTATCTCATATTCCCTCTTTTTGACCTCTCAGGCATTTGCAGATATGTTGAAAGTCAACAAAACACTGAAGAGTCTGAATGTAGAATCCAACTTCATCACTGGGACGGGTATTTTGGCACTGATCGATGCACTGAAAGAGAACGAATCCCTGACAGAGATTAAAATTGACAACCAGGTAAAGAGAGACCATTGAGCAAGTCCACTTTTGTTTCCCTTCTGTATGGATTCCCAGAGGGTTCTCCTAGAGGGCTCTGGCAAAGTCAAGGCAGCCTCTGTGGCTCAGCCATTCTGCAGCTCATGTCCCATGCCTGTGCAACCAAACAGTGGAAGACTTCTAAACAAAATTGGTCAAAGCCAAATACAAAACTCAGAGCAAAATCTCCAGGGACGGGATTCTCTTTGTAGTTTGCAGCACAGTACTATAATATAACCACTTACTTCTATTTCATATGAAAACAAATATTTTTCTTTTCTTTTGGGGACATTTCACCACATCACCAACAGAGGCAGCAGCTCGGGACAGCTGTAGAGATGGAGATTGCCAAGATGCTGGAAGAAAACTCCAAGATTCTCAAGTTTGGATACCAGTTCACAAAGCAAGGTCCAAGAACCAGGGTAGCAGCAGCTATCACTAAAAACAATGATCTGGGTAAGATGCTACTACATCTATTCATCATTTGTTTATGTGAGCCAAGCCCTGACCTTCCTAGACACAAGTCTTCCTGTCTGTACCTAAGATTGAATTTTAACTCTACAATATTCAATCTGCCACATGTGAGGGGTAATGCATAGCTCCACAGACTCTAGAGTAGACAACAGAAAAGATCTTACTGTGGTTAGGAGCCACTATTATTATTCTCATTCTCCCACTCCTTCCTGGGAGTTACTTCAGCCTTTCCCATGGAACACCCTGGATTTCCAGTTGCCCTATCAGCTGTTCTGGCCAGTAAGTAGAGAGCCAAACCCCTCCTGTTTGTTCAGTGAACACAGAAGTCCTCACTTCTTTGCCCTGCCCATGACACACCAAGCCTGCCCAACCAAGGGAACAAAAAAGACTTCCCTGCCTGTGTGACCAAGTGCAGGCAAACACAATAAACCTTTGCAAGCTTCACCTGAATGTGACGTGCTCTTCCCTTCGTGCTCAATACACAGAATAAGAAAGAGATGACTAGGCAGGAGTGGTTTAGACTAAGAAGGAAACAAAAAAGTAACTATGTGTTTTTAATCAAATCTACTTCAAAGTGGGGTGTCAAACCATGATGCCTGTGGTGGCTTCAGGGTTTCTCTCTGTTAGAAGTAAGATAAAAGTTGAGCTAGAAGCTAGAACCTATTTCTTTCATGCATACTTTTTTTTTTTCAGTTTTAGTTTTTAGCAGTACCTAAGCATTCCAATGATATACTATTGGTCCTGAAACTATAAGTGTCCCAGAATAATATTTGAAACATCCCACCAACAGAGACAGAAAGACCTGTTTCTCCACTATTTAACCAGTTGCCATTAGACATACATTCTGTACCTAATCTTCATTTTCTTGCTTTTGTATTGTATGACTTTGTTCAAGATTTAGTAGGATAGAATAACTAAAAGAATTCGATAAAATAAAATAAATGAAGCAACAAAACACTGAAAGCAGACACAAATGATTGATGTTACACTGTAGGCTTTGGAATAATGCAGTCTGCCCAGAAAGCACTATGAAACAAACCTCCTGATAGTAAAGTAATGGGATGTTTGTAGTAATATATTGCTGTTATTGACTTTCTGTAGTGAAAAGCGTTCATTCATCCAGTTTTACTGCTTTTGTTCTGTACTTCAGCAGTTCAGCATCAGAAACAGGACCTGACGGTTTGATGTAACACCAAATTTTGTATCACACAAACAGGAGAACCTCAGTAATCTTAGCAGGCTAAGTCAGAGAAGACTCAATACATTTTTATTAGGGTATGGAGTAGCAAATGCTACCCAATGAGACCTGCTCTATACCAGCTGTAATGTATCCTAAGTGCTGTAAAAATTCACATGGCTTGTCAAAATAATCCTGCCCATAACACAAAGCTCATCACTTTCCGATTTGCTAAATAGCAACTTCAGCCTACTTGGTTTCTAGTGAGAATCCAGAGTTAATTATTGCATCATTAACGATTGATGCAATCAGAGCATGTGAAGTTAAACAGGTAATTTAAGGTCCAATGTGATCGTAGAATCATTATGTTTGGAAAAGCCCTCAGAGATCATCAAGTCCAACCGTATACCCGATGCCACCATGCCCACTAAACCATGTCTTGAAGCGCCACATCTAAACATTTTTTGAACACCTCCAGGGATGGTGACTCCACCACCTCCCTGGGGAGCCCGTTCCAATGCCTAACGACTCTTACAGTGAAGAAGTTCTTCCTAATATCCAGCCTGAACCTCCCCTGGCACAACTTGAGACAGTTTCCTCTTGTCCTATGATGTTTTCCTTCTTGCCAATACTCACTGATATCAGTACTTCAGAGTACTTCAAATTATTTTCTAAAAGGATATGACTATTGCTTACCTATAGTATAAACTTGTGCAATTACAAAAGTTATTAATTTTTGATGCCTAACACTTAAATAATCCAGGCCACTGTCATGCAGACTACAGCAGACCAGTACTAACTTAGCTGGAACACAGTGGCTTTTAAAAGAACAATAAAACTGTCACAAAAATCTAAATGGAGCCATTGGGAGGAACCACTGCAAATGGTGATTTCTTCATCATCTAAAATCTTCAGCTCAGAATCTGATTTTTATAGAAAATGTATTTCACTTCGTGAAATTCTACAGTCTGTCATACAGAAAAGTGCAGTTTAGATACAATTGTTTTGTATAGCATTAAGATGTGTTAATTATGGCATTTATGGACATAATCCTGCTGAGTATTTCTTAGAAGCTCCTTCCTTCCTATTCATGTTACAGGGAAGGGAGTATGTCAGTGAGAAAAGTCCTTAGACTCTCAGGAAAGCGATAATGACTGCTCTTTTCTTGTTTTATTGGTCTAGTTCGTAAAAAGCGAGTGGAAGGAGAGCGGCAGTAGCCACACCATAGAGGACGCGAGGCAAGGTTGGAGGCCACCAACAACTGCAATCTCAGAGTGTTCACTGGTCAGAAGGGAAGGCACTGGAAAACCATTACAATGGGAGTTGCTTATTTCTGTTAATGTCTCCTTTTAACCTTGAAAACACAGCCTGTTCATTTTTAACTTTCACAGTTAATTTAATTTTTATGAGAAAGATTCATAGTTGGTTTGATTTTGAGGAAAAAAATGTTTTGCAAGGTCTGAAGCCAGTATGCAGAATCTTAACTGTGTTACTGAGCATAACATATAGTGACTCTGACCCTTATTTTAGACACTTTTTGATATGTTAAAATATGATCTTGTGTATGGATAAGGGATTCTCTGCTGAAAATAGAAATTTTAGGGCCAAGTTCTGCAATGCCTTATGTTTGTGAATAACCCTCACTTATATGTGCATAGTCCTGCCGAACTGAATCCTGCAATGGGATGCTCCCAGGAACAGAACTAGTAATGCCAGTAAAGGTTTGCAGGATCACACCCTCGAGCCTCTCTCCTGCAGCAGGATCTGGGCAGCTGGAACCACATTGGAACAGTGTGCTTCTACTTCTTGGGTCTCCACCCGTCCAGGTCCAAGTGCAGGATCACGCCTAGACGTATAAACATTGTCAAAGCCTGTTTGTTTACATAAGCTTAGGTTAGATGGATCGTTTTGCAATGTTACACTGATATTTGTTATCCTTACTCCACATTGTAAAGTAATATTAGTGCTGCCAATCTTGTAGACTTTGAATGTTTTTCAGTTTTTTCCTAGGCCAACAGGTTTTTGCTACTAGAATGCACAGTTTACAGCTATTAATCTTAATCTAAACAAGCATTCTGAGCAATATTTGTTTTGCTTTGAGCCATGTGTTTGACTTTTTTTAGTTCTGGTATTTATGTACATTTGTTAGTATTATAGAACTGTTCTCAGGACCTTTTAGATCTGCCAATCCTGTAGACTTTGAATGTTTTACAGGTTTTTATTTGCTACTAGAATGCACAGTTTACAGCTATTAATCTTAATCTAAACAAGCATTCTGAGCAATATTTGTTTTGCTTTGAGCCATGTGTTTGACTTTTTTTAGTTCTGGTATTTATGTACATTTGTTAGTATTATAGAACTGTTCTCAGGACCTTTTAGATGAAGATTAATTAAGTAGTTAATCCAGGAAAGCAGCTGTGCTACCAAGAAAAAACATTAAAAGGGTAGTTTTGACAGCTACATGACTTACGTTTATAGGCTCCAGTTCAGGTTTGTCTCTGTATCACAAGGCACTTAGGTATTCGAGTCAGTGCTTAGCTCAATAAGGGCAGATTTAAGCATATGCACAAAAACTTTGCTAAATCGGGGCCTTAACTCAGATGCTGGACATAATCTTAACTCAATGGAAAACACTCATGAAGCAGTAGCTAACCCCAATGCTCAACAGCATCAAAATTTTAGTAAGAATTCAGTCTGATGTTTCATTTTCTGTATTTTACAGTCTAAAACTATTCTCTACCACTGTTCTATCACTGCCAACAGTTGTCTCTGCCTAACAGCCAGAGGTTCATTTTGGTGACACGTACGCATGCTGTAAGAGCCAAGGGAGACTCCGGTTAGGTGTGTCACACATACCAGCAATTTCAGAAAGCTGCAGAAATGCCCCTGGGGCTAGCGCTGCTACACAGGAAACACTAGCCTCTCCTCCGACAGCTCCTTTGGCACAACGGGGATGATGCACTGCTTCCTTCACCTGGGTGATGAACAATGCTGGAGGTCACAGTCACTGCAGCGTACTCCTGACCCAGGGGGGAGAGCTGTGGACCACTGTGCAGCTGGGTGTCCCGGGATTAGAAATGGGGACAGCCCCGGGAGCCGTCGGTATGTTTGACACACTTCTCTGAGGGATGTTTTCATGACCAGAGCTGGGGTGCAAGCTAACAGGATGAACCCTCCCTCCGTGCCTTTTATAATGGAAATGAGTAGGTCCAAGGCAACACTGTCCCTGTTGGATACTGGTCTTCATATTGGGGTCCAAACTGAATAATATACACTTAAATCCCACTTAAAATAGTTTGCTCAAGTGGTCTGCTGAGCTGGGATGTAAAGTGCAGTATCCACAGTTTATTTCCCTGGAGAGCTCCCCATCTTTACAATTCTCACCTCTCCTTCCCTTCCTCAGAATAAGGCTGAAACCTTTTTGCTTTGCAAGTAAAAAACATAACACATGGGGGAGTCGTGCTGAGATTTTCCCTGGATCCATGCAGGATTTGCTGTGAAAAACTTTGATATCCCATTAAAAAAAATGACAAGTTCTGTAACACAGTCATAATTCTACATGGGCTTAAATAAACAGTCCTTAAAAAACATGTGGATTACCAACAGAATACCAGGCTTTGCAGCATCAAGTCTCATGGGTAGGAAGAATCCTCATCCCCAAAACCAAAAGATTATGGTTACTGACAAACTCCAGTGATTAGAATCACACTGCTCCTATTTTCTTCTTCTTTTCCTTTGATCCAACCAAGGAAATCCCAACTATCAAATCAGTTTTTTTAATGCATTTTGAAGATTTTTTTTTTAAATGGTTACTTTTTTTTTTAAAAAGGGTGGTACATATATCTGTTTAAGGGAAACAAGTGCAATCCATTTCTAGTCTTAATTGCCATTTAAAGTGTTGGTATTTGCATGCAGCAGTTCTACAAGGATGGATTGGTCTGACTGCTTCATGATGTCTGCAGCATGTCATCCTGTATAGCTTTGCTCAGAGCCACACAAGTGGTTATATAGTCAGGTGGCTGCATCCATGTCAGCTCCAGTTTGCATCATGGACCAAGGTTCCTGGCTGGGGAAGGCCCTGTGGGCTCTCTGTCCCTTCATCTGCCATGCTCTTTGCACCGGCGTGTTTCCTCTGAAGGGAAGGATTCCTCAGGCACTGGAGAGTATCATCTCAGACACCAGCCCCGCCATGCCCTAGCAGACAGTGCCTGGAGGTATGCACCCCATGGTGGGGGACCGGGGAGATCTGGCTCCTTCCAGCACGTGTGTGGAGAACTCCTAATCCCTGGCTGTTTTCTCCAGACAGCTGCTGCCGGTCCCTGCCAGGGGGCTTGGTGACCAGGGACATCTCTGTCCTGCCTCTTCTGTGTGCTCCACACAAGGGCTTGGTTGTCACCCGGCCTTGAGCATCACAAGTCAAACATCGCAACAATATATAGATCTGTCCAATACAACAACAGCACACGATGGTGATGCTTGAAGGCAGATTTTCATGTTAATATAGGATTATTTAGCTGGTTAAAAATCTCTGAAACTAACGTGAAGGGGGTCAGGATGTGACTAGTTATTTTTAATTCTACTTTCAAGCATCATCTGGCATACTCAATGCTGAATGGGGAACAGGGACAGAAGAGTCCTTTTTTCTTAAGCAAACATTCAGGAGTAACTGTCTATTTTTGCACATTGCTTCTCATGTTGACAGTTTCAGTTTGGTTTGTATTTTTTATACAATTTTTTCATGGAAAAGCTCAACTTTGTGCTTGTCCTAACATATATGTGAACAGTAGCGTGCACTGAGGACCATATGTGTACATGTATAACTCTAGATGAAGATGTTATCTCTGGAACAAAAGTAATTGCATGCGCACAGTGTGGTGCATATTACTGAAGAGGAAGAGAATTACCACGCTATGTAACAGTGACTCCCCAGCATTGTGGTTTTTCTAAATAAATCTTCATGAAGGATTTGACTTTTGCAATTTCTTATGGTTTTATGCCTTGAATCAAGCCTCCCTTGAGACTCTGACATCAGATTAAGCAGCTTTCTCCACTGTAGCTCTCGCAGCTTTCACTCGTCTGGATTATCTGCTAGGTTTCACCTTCTCTGCCCCCCACATTACATGCACTGGGCTGGAGCTTTGTGAGTGATGGTTGGCTGCTCAGAACCAGGACGGGGCGCAGAGAAACCTGGATTCTACTCCCAGGTTTAACAGACCTCCCAGATTTAAATACACAAGTCTATGGGGCCTGACGAGATGCATCCCACAGTCCCGAGGGAATTCGCTGATGTAGTTGCCAAGCCACTCTCCATGATATTTGAAAAGCCATGGCAGTCAAATGAAGTCCCTGGTGACTGGAAAAAGGGAAACATTGCACCCAT